GCCGTTCAAAATGTTGATGTTCTGTTGGTGGAGGCGGAGGGAAAATTGATGCTCTTTAGGAAGCTGTGTTCTAACGATCATGATGCTGGATTGGTTCCAACCCGGGCAACTGCCGGCAGGCACAAAATATAATAGAGCCCAGACGGACGTGAGCACCTATCGCGATATCTGGAGTGCGGCGAGGAGTATTGAGACGGCATGCATTGTCTCCAAATCAGCGGGTTGGCTTATGACCGGTAATTCTTTCTCATGACACTGGCTTGGAAAACTAGCTGATTGGAGTCGTAATGCCAAGGCAAGAACTCTGCAATGGGGGTATTTGTGTGGTCGACAAACTCTCAACTCAATGAGATCACTGGTGGCTTCCCTGTTCACTCGCTTGGTTTGAACAATTCCGACATTATGATTTTGGATGGTGTGCAGACGAGTTGAGGGATTGCAGAGCAGACATAAGTAGGCGGTAAGGAGTGCGGAGCATATAGACTGGTTGATGGCAGCATCGGAACAAAGTTAGAATTACTGAAGACATCGATAGTGGAGGTTTCCATTTGAGGGCGACTGTGCTTTTCACAACGTGAAATTGTATAAGGGGTTGCTTGTTAATAGAGTGTTCAGATCAACCGCGGTGCGTTGTCTCACGTAAATGTCCATATGCCTGCTCAGGCTACATCGTCAATCTGGCTGCCAACTTACCCATCTCTAGCCGATTTTACCGTCCAGGAAAGTCGTTTGTACTTGACGGAAGTCGTTGCTTGCCAGTTAATGGGTCTTTTGTAGACGCTGCAAATGGGTTGAAAAATATTATACATCGAGTGTCCAAGGCCATATCGCTGAGGAGCAATTAGCAAGCTGTTTGTCACAAACGTGCGTTTGCTGACCTGGTGTACTGTTGCCTTAGACCGTTTTGGCATCAAACAGTCCATTCTTTTTGCCGTCTCATACGTGAGCCCATCCATTCTCAATCAAGACTTGCATCTCATTGATCAAGCAAAACATTCCAGGCTCCGAACGATCCGCACCATCTTCGGACCAAGATTTCAGTCTGCTGGTGATTCGCACCGACTTCATCTTGGTTGAGGTCGTCCAACGCCACAGACGGTTTGACCAAATGCCCAACAGACTCTGATACATTGAAGGCCACGCTAAGGCTGATTTGACTGCGGCGTAGGCCTCTGGGCTGTAGCCCACGCGCACGTTGGGATTGAGCCAGACGCCATGGCTTTGGGTGAGAGGATTGTCAGCATGTATGAGGCAGCATTCAGAGCCTTCAACGTGGTGAAGTGCGAGAGAATCCGATACGCCGCGGAATTTCAAGCGGTTTGGGTCATAGAAAGGAGCCGCATCGAATGCAACAATTCCGTTCCAACAGCTCTGCACCGGTACAGGCTGGCCTGATATCATGGCGCTGCGGGAAGCCTTGGATCTGAAGTATGGAAATGTAGATGTTATGGCTTCGTGTCCATCATCGTCGCGCAACGCAAATGTATCGTAGTAATGAGGCGGTTTGGCGAAGTCCAGAGAGCAGGCAGCGGAGTAGTCGCCGTCTCGGGTTGCAATTAATGTAGCCACATCTTCAGTCTGACCGCAGGTGTCAACAAAATCCAAAGTAGGCAGCGATGGGGGTCCTCACCGTAAAGACTACATCGTTGAGAAACAGCACCCTGTCGTACTTCGTGCCGTCTTCTAAGTAATTGAGTGGCTCTAAAGCCAGATTGCGCAGCTTGGACAGGTATGGTATTCGTCTAAGCTCTGTTTTGCCTCTCGGAGTCTGTATCCAGCCGTCTGTTTCTGGCTGTCGCATCTCGTCGGCGTGGGTCGTCTCATTGAGCCTGACAGTCCGTCGTACTCCTTTCCTTTCCAAATCGTTGTCCAGGACCCTCAGCGTCTCCTTTGAGTCATCCCAACTTCCACTCTCGTATACTGATACGTAGACATTCTCTGCTCCAAAGTAGTCCACCAATCCAAGCACAGCCTGATTCCAATTGCTTCGAAGGATCGGGTCGTTGTTCCAATGGATGCTGGCGATAAATATCTTCTGACCGCGGACGTCGGGGGTCTTCGCAGGCAGGTTTTGGTGCTGACGAGCGGATATTAAGGACAAGACGTCGATGATGCAGAAAAGAGCAATGACTAGAAGCGTGGCCCGAAAGACTCTGGTCCGAGAGGATCTGGAGAAGCGGCGAAGGGAGGTTCGTTTCATGGCGATTCAGAGGAATGGAAGCGGTCTTGTTCCCCCAAAGAACAACAGACTCCCAACTCCTCAAACGAGTGGATCATGGTCATGAAAAGATGATGGAAACGCGGTGAATCCAATCAAGCAGATGGCACCCTCACGGCACCAACGGAGAAGACAGCAAGGACATTTGCAGCCGTGCCGTACAGGAACGGAGCTGGTATCGGGCCGGCAGATCTTCCGTACTCTACTGTACTGTAGACGCTAATGATTGGAAACAAACTAGTTGAAGACGACTGTAACTCAATTGCTGAAATTATGCGCTCTGCTCAAGATGCAGGAAAGAATGGATCTAGGTCCTTGCAGCATCGGGGGCGTCTGAGCAAGATGTGTTATAAGGTACTTAGCCTGTGGGCTAGGAAGGAGGAAGGAATACCTCCAGTAATCAGCACCTCCAGTAATCAGCAATAGGGCAAGAGCGATGGAAAAGAATTCGTTAGGATTGTGCGGTCTGTCGCCCGACATTGCACTTCCTTTTATACGTCAGTACCGTCTTCCAAACCGTATACTATACCATCTTCCGAGATACCAACAGCTTACTCCGAGACAATGTCTAGGTACGCTGCCGATTTACGAGGCAAAGGGAGGCGCTAACGACTCATCAATGCGCAGGCCTCTAGGACAACTCTTCGCCTCTTCGGATATTCTTTCAGGGGAAGAAGCCATGAAGATGCGAAATTACTGCTCCACGGCCTATATGGACCCTGACAGGGACCTCAAAGATTCCTACGGTATTCTGTTCGAGGACGGGAATCTTACCGCTTTCCAAGAGCACTTCCAAAGCCGTGTCCAGCATTTCGAGGGCAGACAGTATGAAGCGGCCCAGGAATTGTTCAAAGTCAAATGGGGTCCAACTCGTATTCCGGTTTATGTTGTGCTGCTCGCTTTTACAAGTATCAATCCTGGACTACGATATTACTACATTGCTATAGCGGAATGGCTTGTTGACACGGCCAAAGTTCCTGTTGACGGTATGTAGCGAGGGATTTCACCCTACCGTTTTGTGTGATCTCAATTGTTCCTTTGACTATATTCCGATACCAATACGTGACTTGCACCCGTATGGACGTGGTCAAAGGACCAGGCGCTGACTTCTTAATGAAAGGAACCGACATATCTGGTACCACAGCTCTGATGCATTCCATCTCCCAGAAACCCTACTTCGACCCCGAATTTGCACAGCTCATGTTCGATGCTGGGGCCGATATCAATCGAAGAGACCGCTTTGGCGGAATAGCCGCCCACGATATTACCACAGTCCAGCTCCTTTACGATCATGTAGCTCATGAAAAAGCGGGCCGTGCTTTGCAGTGGTTCCTGGAACATGGCGGAACTCTGGACATTGAGGACGGGGATGGTATATCTGTACGGCGGATCATCGCGAGTCTGGAAGGCACTGATAGGACGTTGAAGGGGGTTGTGGACAGAGTTGAACAACAACAAAGTGGTGGTAGCAATACCGGCAGTGGCGTAACTGCGCGTCCTACGGCCCGCAACAGTCCATGCCCGTGTGGGTCAGGTCGGAAATTCAAGAAGTGCTGTGGTCAGGCATGATGCCCGATGCCCGAGCTCTCAGTCAATCGATGGGCATGTGGCCTTTTGATAGTATTGAATAGGATCGTCCTTGCCAATGTTCATTGCGTTGATGGTTAGAGATTTTCGGCTGCCAGCCTTTCCTTCTATCGTTAATCAACTCTCCGCAACCTCGAGCATAGTCATCGACACAAGTATGGCAGTCGACATGGGCAGTTTACCTGCGGAAGCTGACAATCAAAGGGCAAGAAGAGCGAGCGTTAAGCATTACGAAGCAATTCCCTGTATGCCGACTTCTGATGTAGACTTCGAGGAACGGCCGATCTCCGTTGTACAAACTAGAGATATTCCAATGACTCGGAAGTCGCTAGTCTAGGGTTGAATATAGAAAAGAGGAAAGTCTCTTTACAATGGACAAAAACGCTTACGGGCTCCTTCGCGCAGACAATGACGGCTTTGGGGCGTAACGACATGCTATGTCGCAGCGGGAATGTCACGATCCAGATGCTCGGCTGACAAATCTCATGATTCGAAAATTCCACTCCCGAAAGAGGAACAGACCAGCGTCGCCCGGCACTAGTGCACTTCCAAAAGGAGTCGACCTTGGGCAGATGTTGTTGGGGAAAACCCGGAAGTGAGTGCGGTATACTCTATTTACAGGAGAGCGCAAGTCCGGACTTAGAGGAGAGCCTGCGGAGAAACGTGGTCTGCTTCTACCGCATGTTGCAATCTGTCATATCGAGTACATTCAGTTCGTCGCTATCCTTGATCCTGTGTTGTATATCCACAATACCCCCTAAACACAGACTTTCTCTCACATGCATTACGGTTGCATTGCGTCGTTCTCGAAAGTGCTAGCTGATCCTCGCCAGGCAGTCATTCTCCTGATCTTGGTATTCTGAAATCCGAGGGCCTTTTCTCTACTCCTCGACGCAATCTACGGGTTGTCGCTTCCGGAAAAACGAAGGCGGCAGCCCTTGCGCTCTCTATTCCTACCTTATGCGTGCCATGTCTCCTCCCGTCAACAAATATACCCTGATTCTCAATGTCCAACCGAAAAGCAGGAATGTCAGAGCCAATCAGCTTGCCCGTCACTTGCACAACGAAGGTAAGCAGCTTCTCATGAGACAACTCATATCATGAACAATGAAAGCTTGAGCAGCGACTTAAAGACGTAAGACTGTGCACACTCAGAGTCACCCACTGACAGGCCAACCACCTCCAAACTACAAACTCAAACCCTACGCCAATCAAACCTCCTCGTGTCCTCCCGCCACGCTCCCTCCCTTCCAACCTTCCCATCCAACTCATAAACATCAGCCTGCATCCTAACCCCATTCCTCAACCTCTCCTCCCAAATCTCCTTCGGCGACCCATCCCTCCGCTCCGCAAACCTCACAAGATCTCTTTCCGCATCGACATACTGCCTGCAAAGCATTTTCTCTTTCTGAAGATGACACTTAATGCAAACCGGAGGGTAGTCTGTCAAGAGGACTTTATTCATTTGGTTTTCGTCCCAGGCGGCGCATGGGGGCCCGCTGCCCGGGTGGTTCTTGCAGGGGATCATGATCTCGTAATCGACTGTGTGGCCGCATTTTGCGATTTGGGCTTTCGCGGTGCACATGGTTTGAGAGTTTGTTGCGGTGGGTTTGTTTTCTTCCGGGGGTTGGCCTGGAATGAGTGGGGTGGATTGTGAGTTGTGATGCTTCTCGATGAAGTTGAGATTGATCAGGAACTGTAGTTGAACGGTGAGAACGATGGGGGGTAATATCAAAAAATTTGAAGTCCGCCATTGTCATCACCCATTCTTTGTCGATACAAAGGCCATTGTTGTTGCACCTTTTGGATGCAAGACATCCAATTTTGACTTCATTTTCCTCATTGTCTTCAAGACTCCTGGGCGTAAACATACTTCGATATAGAATGACAATAAACTATTCGCAAATCGCTTTGAGCGATGACAATGAGGTTGTCATCCAACACAGACGGACGACTCTTGACAGTGAAAGTACACAGATTTCCTCACAGCAACAAGATCCTCTTCCCAAACACACACACGCTCCCCACTCAACCACAACCAAGTCCTCTCCTCACACCCAACGACCCACGGCCCACCCACAACCCCACCATGTGCAACTTCCAATACACAACCTTCCCCCAACGCGACCACATTTTCGCCCCCACCCACCCTCATCTCCCGCTGCGCCACCTGAACCTGGTGGTAGCCCTGCCCATCCTCGCGCTGCCTCGGATCAGCGACACTGACCTACCCTACCGCTCTCGCCACAGTGTCGAAGATCAGGAAGAAGTTCACCATGCGGGAGGCCAAGGTGGTTGAAGAGGGGAGGAGGAGGGGGGGAGATGTTGAGGAGACGTGGCGGGGGAGGACGGGATGGGGGTGAGGGTGGAGCTGGGTGGGGTGGGTTTTGGGAAGGGGGGAGGTAGGGGGGAATTGTTTGTTTTGTCTGCAATGTCGGAGCTGGGGCGATGGTCGATGGATAGGGTGAAGTTAGCGTTTAGTGTCGCAGTTGCTGTATACGTATCGTAGTCGCTGTACGCGTATCTAGTCGCTACATACGTATATTGGCAGGTTATATAACGAGCGAATGCTTTTTGTTATTTCCCAACCTCTTGTTGTGAAAAGAATGGATGGCCCGTCATGGCCGATGTTCTCATGCAATGTCAGAGCCTCTCATCCCGGTATCATACCCGCCAATCTCAATCGATCAAACGCCTTGAACCAAGATGTGTTCGGCTCAATCTCCTCCTCAAACCCCACCTTTCTCGCCTTCTCTAAGTTCATATGCCTATCGAATGTAAAGACAGCCGTACTCATCCAGATATTCCGCTTTGAAAATCCTACTATCCTTCCCGCCCCACGCTTCCAAGGCCTGTTCATGCTTCTCGATATACTCTCCCGGCTTCAGCGCGTCCTTACCATCAACATCCGGGCCAACGCCTTCGAGGCCGAAGTATTTCGCAATAGCCGGCCAGCGTTCGCTCATGCGTGAAGGAGGGGCCCGGTCTGCGATATTGAACAACTCACCGCCTCCGCACTCCTCAGGGTGCAGGAAAGCCCAGATGGAGAATTTAGCTATGATGTCTGCAAAAGCATCGTTGAAAAGGGAATTGTAGGCAGTGACCGTGCCGGGAAAGGGGACTTCGGCGCCTTTTCCCTCGACAAGAGCGTACAAGGAGAGGTAGGTAGCCCAGTGGGCTGGGAGGTTGAAGGTACTGCCGTTGGGGACGAAGCCGATCTTTTTGCAGGAACAATGCGTATGAGAACGATGAAACGCGCTACAGTTGAATGTACTCTCTACTTACGATAGCATCTGGTCTGACTTCACACCACGTCCAATCTCTCCCTTTGCTCATCTCCTCGAGCGCATCTTGATGCGCAAAGCAGAAAACGTTGCTGGCGATTGGCTCTGGCAATCGGCCCATGGACTCCTTAAAAGGGGCTTTGAAGACTCCACCGGGAATGTGGATGCCATAACCCTGTGTAGGGCTCTCGGTACCTCGATGGACCAAAATATCTGGGCGCTCATCGTGAAAGGCTCACCCTGGTACCGCTGGGTAATACCACGAACTTTAGGCTCAGTGAAAGAATGTTCAAGGCGCCGATTGCACGCTCGATCATGTCACGATTGACCTTGATATCGACGTCAGGTTCTTGCTCCTACTTGTAAGCTGATGAATGCCAAGAAAGCTTTCATGTCAGCTGGAGACTTGTGCGCTTATAGCGTTCATCATGGCTGGTCGAATGGCCTTCAAGGATCAAACACGCACCGAAGTAGAATGCATGCGTAACATTCCCAATATCTTCGACTTCACGCTTTAGAAAAGATGTGAAATCCTCGATTGACCCCTTCAACATCTCACATGAGATACCAACTGGAGCTTCGGTCGTGATGGCGAGGGATCGGGCCAGTAAGAGTCGGCGACGCTGAAAGGCCGGTTCACTATTGCTGTGACGTGTGAGAAAGCGCCTAGGGGGGGATAATTGGAAAGGAGCTGGTCGACAACGCCCCAGCCTGCTAGACCGGATGCGCCGAATACCAATGCATGAGCGCCAGTTGCTGATGCGGACCGAGCCATGATGTCCTGATGAGGTGCCTAGCAACAGGAAGTCTGGATTTGAGAAGTCGTCAATGGGGAGACACTTTGACCCTCGTTTTGACCGAGTGACTGAGTCAGTCGAAGAGTTCGGTTGTGATAGAGACCGTCATTGGACATGACTCGGTGAGTCAAAGGAATTATGAGATGTTTCGCTTATGCGGTAACTCTATGCACTAATCCAGATCCAGATACCTGCATGCATGTATGCAAGACCACTCACGAAATATGCACCTCGCACATTATCACGCTTTGAGACGGTAGAGGTATTCTATACCGACACCGACGCCGACGCTAATCGCCACGTGGTTGTAAGAAGCTTGTTTTGGCGGTGGCTGTAAAAAGAAAATGGATCATTCAACAACGGCAATTGGGATTCATTGAGAGTCACTCTGGGAGCCTCCAACGATGGCGCTTAGATGCACATCTGGATAGGCTGATATCACTTCTCTTCTTCCCAGGAAATCCTGGCCTCTAGAAGCGGCAAGCATGATAAATTCAGCACCATCAAACCTGTCAACAACATAGTCCCAGCATTATTACAACGCGTTCAATGAGTACGTACGAAGCTGAAGTATATGTAGTGCTGCCATCCAGAACCAACTCCTTAAAGTACTTTAACAGAAGCTTGGATGTTTATCGTGCCAAGACATATCTTAGTGCTCTGTGATTTACGTAATCAGATCTGGATAACGAGTCATGCGATAATGCTGCATGACTCATGCAGATGTTTACTAAGTCCGAATCTTAAAATCTTCCAGGGCATGGACTGCTTATTCTCAACCCAATCAATTGCTCATTCGCTTGTGGCCAATTTCTCTTCTTCCTTCTCATCCTTCATCCTCGCCTTCTTTTGCTTGAATCATCGACATCTCATGCTGCGCAAGTGGCATTTTCATAGGTTCAGCTGATGTCTGACCTGACCTGCATACCCGTCTGACATTGCCCGCATATCCGTTGGAGGCCAAGGATTGCCCATGATGCAAGCTCTTGGCGAATTGATCCAAGGGTCGCACCAGCACGGCGTTTCCAAACCACCAAATGCCGTTGCTGAAGCAGATCCAGAAGCAAGTAAGGAGGTTGACGCCTCGACGCCTGATACCATCGCCGAGGTCGAAGATCTCAAGGCACACCACCCTCCCCCTCCACAACCCAATGAATCGGTTGAGAATCGCGTCTCCGTTGGCCGCGCAGAAGCCGAGTTCGCAGAATTGAGTCGTCAGCTCTCCGGCATATCGGAAAAAAGCAAGACAATATCAAGGAGACCAAGCCACGGAAGTATTTTGAGCCGAGGCAGTGGATTGAAAGAGAAGGACATCGAGAAGGAGCCAACGAGCTCAACGGAGTCTGAGGTAGATTCATGGGATCTGGAGCAGACATTGAGAGGCACCAAAGATGAGGACGTTGCTGCCGGGATCAAGTCAAAGCACATTGGCCTCGTATGGGAGGGTCTTACGGTCCGAGGTGTTGGGGGTGTCAAGAACATCGTCAAGACTTTCCCTGAGGCCTTTGTATCTTTCTTCAACGTTGTTGGGACGGCGATGCATATCTTTGGATATGGCAAGAAAGGAAGAGATCTCGACATTTTGAGAAACTTTCGAGGGGTGGTCCTACCCGGCGAGATGGTTTTGGTGTTGGGGAGGCCAGGCTCAGGATGCACGACGTTCTTGAAAGTCATAGCCAATCAACGTTTTGGATACACGGGCATTGACGGAGAAGTGTTATACGGGCCATACGATTCCAAGACCTTCGCTAAATACTACCGAGGAGAAGCTGTCTACAATGGGGAGGATGATATACACAATCCTACACTCACAGTTGGCCAGACGCTGGGTTTTGCTCTAGACGTCAAGACCCCTGGCAAACGGCCTGGTGGAATGTCCAAAGGGGAGTTCAAGACAAAGGTGGTGAACCTGCTCCTCAAGATGTTCAACATTGAACACACCATCAACACCATCGTTGGCAACCCTTACATGCGAGGTGTGTCCGGAGGTGAAAGAAAACGAGTTTCCATTGCGGAGATGATGGTAACGTCAGCGTGCATATGCGCTTGGGACAATACGACGCGAGGATTGGATGCTTCAACGGCGTTGGACTATGCCAAGTCTTTGAGAATTATGACCAACATCTACAAAACAACCACCTTTGTCTCGCTGTACCAAGCTAGTGAGAACATCTACAACCAATTTGACAAAGTGATGGTCATAGACGAGGGCCGCCAAGTGTTCTTCGGTCCTGCGACGGAAGCCCGGGCATACTTTGAGGGGCTCGGCTTCAAAGAAAAGCCCAGACAGACTACCCCGGACTATCTTACCGGCTGCACTGATTCATTTGAACGTGAATATGCATCTGGAATGTCCGAATCCAATGCTCCGCACGACCCTGACTCCCTTGCGAAAGCCTTCGATGAATCCATATTCGCGAGCAAGCTGTCAGAAGAGATGGTTGACTACCGTGAAAAGCTCGAGAACGAAAAGGAAGTCTACACCGAATTTGAGACCGCGCATCAACAAGGCAAGCAGAAGCATACGATGAAGTCCAGTGTCTATGCTGCGCCTTTCTACCTGCAGATCTGGGCTTTGATGCTACGCCAGTTTCTCATCAAATGGCAAGATAAGTTCTCGCTCGTTGTTTCCTGGATCACTATGATAGTCGTCGCTATCATACTTGGCACTGTGTGGCTCAATTTGCCTGACACCTCAGCGGGTGCCTTCACGCGAGGAGGGGTCTTGTTCGTCTCTCTCCTTTTCAATGCCTTCCAAGCCTTCGGCGAGCTCGCTTCAACCATGCTTGGCCGGCCGATCGTCAACAAGCACCGTGCATATACCTTTCACAGGCCTTCCGCTTTGTGGATCGCCCAGATCATTGTCGACCTAGCTTTCGCCGCGGTTCAGATCTTCGTCTTCAGCGTCATGGTATACTTTATGTGCCATCTCGTTAGGGAGCCTGGTGCATTCTTCATATTCTACCTAGTCGTTGTTAGTGGATATCTGGCAATGACCCTCTTCTTCCGAACATTGGGCTGTCTTTGTCCCGACTTTGATTATGCGATGAAGTTCGCTGCTATCGTCATTACTCTATTCGTGTTGACGTCTGGGTACTTGATCCCATATCAAAACGAGAAGAAGTGGCTACGATGGATCTTCTGGATCAATGCACTGGGTCTTGGTTTCTCTGATCTGATGATGAATGAATTCGGGCGCCTCACTCTGACTTGCACTTCAACTTCTCTCGTACCCTCTGGATCTTCCTATGGGAACATAGCCAACCAAGTTTGCACCCTCCCCGGGGGTTCTGCTGGATCGACTCGAATTCAAGGAAGCGATTACATAAGACTTGCATTTGACTATGACGTTGGCGACCTATGGAGGAATTTTGGGATCATCATCGTCCTCATCGTCGGATTCCTCTTTTTGAATGCTACTCTAGGCGAAGCCCTCAACTTTGGTGCCGGTGGCAAAACCGTCACCTTTTTCGCCAAAGAAGATATAGAAAAGAAGAAGCTCAACGACGGGCTTATGCAAAGAAGACAGAAGCGCCAACTAAAACAAGAGATGCAAGGCTCAGAGCTGAACATTACTTCCAAAGCTGTCCTTACGTGGGAAGGTCTGTGTTATGACGTTCCAGTACCCTCAGGGCAACTGCGCTTGCTGAAGGATGTCTTTGGATACGTGCAACCTGGCCGGCTGACTGCCCTGATGGGTGCTTCTGGTGCTGGTAAGACGACCTTGCTTGATGTCCTGGCTTCTCGAAAGAACATTGGAACCATATCAGGTGATGTTCTGGTTGATGGCATAGCTCCTGGAACCGCGTTTCAAAGAGGAACGTCATATGCTGAACAGCTTGACGTTCATGAGTCGACTCAGACAGTGAGAGAAGCTCTGAGGTTCAGTGCCGATCTCCGGCAACCATACGAGGTCTCTCAAGAAGAGAAGTACGCCTATGTCGAGGAAGTCATATCCTTGCTCGAGATGGAAGAAATTGCAGATGCTATCATTGGCGAACCCGAGAGCGGGCTGGCAGTTGAACAACGGAAACGTGTGACAATCGGCGTGGAGCTGGCAGCTAAGCCTGAACTGCTCCTCTTCCTGGATGAGCCTACATCTGGACTCGACTCACAGTCGGCTTTCAACATTGTCCGCTTTCTTAAGAAGCTCGCGGCCGCTGGGCAATGCATCCTTTGTACGATCCATCAACCCAACTCGGCGCTCTTCGAAAACTTCGATCGTCTACTTTTGCTACAACGCGGAGGCGAGTGTGTGTACTTTGGGAACATAGGGAAAGATGCTATAGTACTCCTAGAATATTTTCGCAAGAACGGTGCGATTTGCCCTCCAAACGCTAACCCAGCCGAATGGATGCTTGATGCCATTGGGGCTGGACAAGCACCCAGGATCGGTGCAAGGGATTGGGGCGACATTTGGCGAACCTCCTCCGAGCTAGCAGACACCAAAGAAACCATCCGCCGTATCAAGACTGAGCGTATTTCCGAGGTTGGATCCAACCGCAAGACCGACGAGAATGAATATGCTACACCTCTCTGGCATCAAATCAAGATCGTCAACAGACGCACTCATCTCTCGTTCTGGCGATCTCCTAATTATGGCTTTACACGGTTCTTCAATCACGTCGCCATTGCCATACTGACTGGACTTACATTCTTGCAATTGGACGACTCTCGCTCATCACTACAAGAGCGAATATTCGTAATCTTCCAGACTGTCGTCCTCCCCGCCATCATTGTAGCACAGGTCGAGCCAAAATACGACCTCTCACGCTTAGTCTTCTACCGAGAATCCGCTGCAAAGGCATACAAGCAGTTTCCCTTCGCGCTCTCTATGGTCCTTGCGGAGATGCCCTACAGCATTCTTTGCGCAGTGGGCTTTTTCTTTCCCCTTTACTACATGCCCGGATTTCAGTCCGCATCTAGTCGTGCAGGCTATCAATTCCTCATCATCCTTATCACGGAGCTCTTCTCGGTGACCCTGGGCCAGATGATTTCCGCTTGCACGCCTAGCAGCTTCATCGCCATGCTCCTCAATCCCTTCCTTATCATCACGTTCGCTCTCTTCTGCGGTGTCACAATCCCCCAGCCACAAATACCAAAGTTCTGGAGAGCCTGGTTGTACCAGCTGGACCCATTTACGAGGCTGATTGGAGGCATGGCAAGTCAATTTCACTCCCCTCGCCCAATTATGACTAACAAAAGCACAGGTGGTGACCGAACTTCACGACCGTCCAGTGATTTGCTCCCCCTCTCAGCTCAACACCTTTACTCCCCCAACTGGTCAAACATGCGGCCAATACATGGATGCTTTCTTCTCGAGCGGCGGAGCAGGCTATCTTGTCAACAACGCAACGGATGTCTGCCAATACTGCGCCTACAAGGTCGGAGATCAATTCTATGAGCCGTTGGGTTACAATTTCGATCATAGGTGGAGGGATTTGGGTATCTTTGCCGCTTTCATTGGTAGCAACTTGATCTTGCTATTCTTAGGGAGCAGGTATCTGAATTTCAATCGCCGTTGATCGATTCACCGATTTTCTAGAATGGTAACCCATAGATTCCCTTGAGACGTTTGATAAATCGGACCAACAATCCTATTATCATGAAATCATTCCGGTGTTGAGGAATGTGGGGATCGGCCTAGTTTCCGCATGCGGACATCGAAGCTCTTTTGCAGGTAACAATGCCAACTCAAGATCAAATGTGCTCAGCTTAACGCTACATTTGAGCCTGTCTTGTGCCAAACCCGCCAAATCCTTCAGCTTTCCGCTCAAACTCTGCGCAAAGCTCGAAGATCACCAGCGTCCGCACCCACCACCATCAACCACCCCCATGCCCGCCCTCGCCATCCTCACCCTGCAAATCCTCTTTGCACTCTCCTGCCTCCTCTTCCTCCTCTACCTCATCACCATCTACATTCTCCGACGTCCTGGACTGGGGCCGGGTCACTTATCTTTCAACGCCCTTTTCGATCAACGACGCTGGAACCTCAAGCCCACCCCACCGCCCACACCTCTACCTCTCAATCTATCATCCCAACAAGGAGATCTCAAACGCAACGCACAACCCGCCTATCACAACCCCTTCGATTCCAGCCCCACAACGACTTCTTCTTCTTCCCCAACGTCTTCATCCGCAATCGACTGCATGAGCCAGAGCAGCGGGATCCTCCACCCAGATACCTCCGCAACGGCGCCAATAACGTGGCGGGATCCATGGCGATGGCGGTTCGGGACCGGAGACTCACGTCGAGATAGGAGTGGCAGCGAGAGCGGGGTTGCTGAAGAAAGGCGAACGGGATCGGAGAGTCCGGGATTGAGTCCGCTTGGGTTGGGGAAGTATTTCTTCGAGGGCGGGGTCGGGGTTCGGGATATGTGAGAAAACGGCAAGGATGACTAGGCAGGGTATAGTACACGTATCAGCCCCTTTTCTTCCTCTTCCTGGGGAATCGGATGACGGGGAAGTCGGCCCGGCAATGCGGGCTCGTGAGATCGGGGACTCCGCTCTCTACCAAAAATTTTCGGTGCCTGAGATCGATCGATTTGTACATGGCACCATGCAAACAGAGGTAGGTAGAGGAGATGGTGCATTGAAAAACGCCATCAGAACAAAAGACTCCAGCAAAGAAAGATGGAGAAGAGTACTTCTGCCGCTAGAGGCGAGAGCGGTAAGAGGCTGTAGCAAAAATTCTTCAAAGATATCACTATTGTCGGGCATCGCGCCTGAACTTTACACGATTTCATCAAGGGCTTTCGCCCTCCACAAAGGACAATTCTTAGCGAAACTTCTTTGGCGCCGTGTAGGACTCCTACAATGTCATCAACCTTTTTTTCGCCCTCTATGTACCTGATGACTTTTGCTACATTCTCTTACTCCTGCAAAGCGCTACCGTATGATCATCTATACGCACGCACGCACGCACGCACGCAAAGCTCTTTCTATTATCTTTCGACAACTCGCTGGGAAAGAAAGACGGCACGGTCCCGCGCCCCAATCACCGGATTTCCGGGTTCCCGTACTTCCTCGTGAACATACCCAGCGCCTTGATCGGGAAGATGAACTTGTAGTTCGGGTACGAGATCATGACGCTCTTGTTGAAGACGCCTTCGATGCCTTCCTGCTTCCACTCTCCGTTCCTCTGCTGCCGTGCCATGATCAGCCCGACGGCTCTCTCGATGGGCTCCTGGTCCGGATACTCCGCGACCAAGAGTCCGATGATGGCCCAGCTCGTCATGACGATCTGACTCTCGCGCTGTGCGTAGACGCCGGTTTCGCAGCCTCGGTAGCTTTCTCCCCAGCCGCCATCGTCCCGTTGCTTGCTGAGGAAGAATTCGCAAGCCTTCTTCACGCGGCTGCTGTTGGCGTAAGTTTCTCCGACGGAGGCGAGAGATTCGAGCGCGAACATGCCGGCGTAGGTGAAACAGATGCCCCAGCTGCCATACCAGGATCCGTCCTTCCGTTGCGCTTTACGGATGTACTTTAGTGCGCCATCCAAAGCTTTCGATATGTCTGCTTTTCGGTATTGGGGATGATGTTTCGAGAAGAGGCGTAGAGCGGTGACGACGGCGGTGCTGCATTCGGGGTAATCGTACTCGACCATGATCCTACCGAAAACCTCGGCTGCGTTTAGGTATTCCAAATGCTCTGAGCCGCGAGTTGGCTCATAAGAGGCGAATCCTCCGGACGCATTCTGCATGGTCAGGAGCGTGTCAATCGCGTCTTGGAGGCGGTCACTGGATACTAAGACTGGATATCCAGGCGTGTGCTGGAGCATCATGACGGCTTTCATTGCTTCACTTGTGGTATCGCTGACTGTGTAGCCCTGTATTTTATTACTGAAGGCCCAGGCACCTTTTCGCTGCTGTCGATAACAGATATCCTGTTCCCTACAATTTGCTCTGATTTGCTGATCGTCCAAAAATTCGAGAGCTTTCGTTAGCATAGGCCTCCATGTCGGGTCCTCCGCCAGCCCGGCTTCATGAACTGCTTGGATGAGCCACGACGTATCCCATGTTTGAACACCGTTTGTGCCGTTGACGAGCATGCCTTCATTTTTCATCCAGAAGAACTCTGGTAAACGCTCGCGATGGCGCTTTACAGAATAGCTATCGGGACCGTCGTGGAGGTAGCAGGCCACCATATTCATGGGAGCACTGACAGGAGCAAGATTGGCGTAGTCAGTGTTCTCGTCTTCGCGATGAATCAAGTCGAACGACCAAGCTTCTGCTCGCTTTTTGATATAATCTGTTCGAAGGAATGGATTCCAGATGTAGACCAGCATCCAATTTATGAGGGTAAGAATCCATGATTTTGGGTGGTAATTATCTCGGGGAGATATGCTGTTACGATGTGACGAGAATTTAATAGAGGAATGGCTTTGGGTGTAGATTTCCTCCCGAATCTGGCGAATCAGAGGAGTCTGAGGGGTGACAAATCTCCTGGAGTAAATGTAGGACATGGGCAGGAAGACCATGCGCATGTGTATCCACCAACGCCACGGAGCGATGGGTACCCAGTCTGGGAGAAGCCTGCAATCACTCATCAGCCAACCTCATCACCAAATCACCGGCCCATGGCTTGACCTACCACAGCTCCGGAGGCACAGGGTTCACCCCCTCCCACTCCATAACCCCCAACACCGCCAACCAGAACTTGGCCCAATGCGGTGCCATCACCGCTCCCCCCAACTGGTGTAGCATCCCCCTCGCCTTTACCATCCTCTCATCCTCTTCATTCGCCCCCAGTAGCCTCAGCACGACATAAGTCATCGTAGTCCCATACGCCGTGCTCTCCCCTTCAATATGTAGCCCCCACCCGCCATCATCTGGATTCTGTCGGGCAAAGAGGTACCGTTTCATCTCTATGGCAACGGGTGCTGGCATAGGTGTCTGTGTGACGTACCAGGCGATAACCATGCCTGGCAGGAGGAACATGGGACCGCCGTATTCACAAGCCCAGTTGCCGGGGGGGAGCTGCAGGCGGGAGAAAAAGGAGAGGGCATTTTGGACGGATGAGAGCGGGGTTTGGGGTATCTCAAGGTCCGGTAGAACCTGGATTGACTTGTCAATGGCATTGCGGAAAGCGAGGAGCTGGGATGAGGCAGACCAGAGGCAGACCAAGGTGGTACCTATCGGCTGTGCTTTGCGGCCAAGCTTTGACCTCTTCATCAGTCTCCAGGTAATGCCATGTCTGTCGGCCGGCTTCGTCCAGGAGCCGCCATCGCTGGATGTCAGTAGTTTCCGGTTTACCAATTGAGGCTACCGTCGTGCGGTTCTGGTGTCTCGTGTCGCCGCTTGGGTTGCCATTCAAGACCATCTGCGTCGTCTTTGCCATCTTCGGTCCAGCAGAGGCGCAAAGATTGGCCCGCACGAGGTTTGGGTCCCATATTTATAACATTTTGAGAGGGAATTGGTCGGTCATGACCTCGGTAAAACAGGATCCGCGAGCGAATTTGTCAATACGAAGTACGCCGCTAGCGCCATGGGGCTTGATATAGATGCTACAATCGCAATAGTATGTACATAGTACTCTTGACGGAAGTAAACAAGATTTTTGATTAGAGACATCGGTCCAAATAGCTAGAGAGTAAGTACTCAAACATGATCCATTAGCTCGAACGGACTGCGAGCATGTCCTGTCATGCCTTTCCAGGGATCGAGAGATGGGCGATTAACCGCATCGATGCAACAGCCAACAACAATGCTTCCCCATCCCATGCCAATGAAAATCCTCAAACGCCCATCAATCACTCAAATCAGGATTAGCAACAAACAGCCTTCCTCCGCCCATGTAGCCCATTGTATTGGCCCTCTCATCCACACTTCCCCTCCTCCTCAGATCGTCGATCGTCTTACTCTCCTTCTCTACCTTGGGCGCCTGCATCTGTCCCACGTTCCCAAAACTGTTCTCACGTTCGCTCGATCCCCCACTGCCGCCCTTGCCAGAATCATGCGCGAAATAGTCCGCACCCTGTTGCTGTTGGTCTCCAGGCACAGGAGTCTCCTCCGTCTCTGCCATCTCCGGTATATCATCGTTTGGACTGCTTCCTTGCCCGCTTCCGGTGGGCGTGCTGCCTTGACTGTACCTGTTCCCGCGTTGTTGCTGGTCGACGCTCAGCCACCTGTTATCGCCCGAGCTCCTTCCACTGATGCGTCTGCCACTATCCGCATCATCGTAGTGATTCCCATCATCGCCCACCTCATTAGCGCTCAGTCTCATGGGAACACCTCCTCCCACCATGTTAGCACCACTGTATCCCGTAGCTTTCGGCAGGCCATGATGCCTGATTTTGCTCCTGACGCCCAAGCTGCTACTGCCCATGCTGCCACTTGTACTCGTCCGACCCTCTGCCTGCCCAGTTATTTCCCTCGCTGCCCGTATCTTTGCTGCTTTGTGTTGTGCCGCTATCCGCGGATCTTCATGTTGAGACCGATCACACCAAACGGTGGCTTTCTGCTTTCGCATCAGCGCCACATAGCTGCCAGGTGTAGTCGAGGCGCCAGAGCGTGTTGAAGCATTCCGGCTGAGGACAGACGAGACATTTGACGGAGTTCGGGATGGCGGATAGCCCGTATTGGAATGTGACGTAGATGTAGTCGATTGGGAGGGAGTGCGCCGTGCTTTGGCTATCGCGTTGGGATACTGTTGTGATGAGGGAGAGGACGTGGGCGGCGGTTTGGGGCCATTGCGGGTGTATGAGGAGAATGTCGAAGTCGGAGGTGGCTGCCGAGAAGGAGGCAAGCCGATGTCAGGAATAATTTTGCTCAATGGTCGGAGATCTGTCCGCTTGGAGATGTCTGGAACTGGAGGTAGAGGTTTCCTGTGAGGCAGTTGATACGGGTCTGGTCGTCGAAAATCTACCATGGTCATCTCAGTGAGGTGTATGGAGTAATGAGGAGCTGTCTGAGGGGTCGAGTTGGAGGAGGGTCAAGGCGCTGGTTTCGCTAGTGTGGTGAACAAGGATGGCTGGGGAGGGGGGGGGGGTCGATTGTTGGGTCTGCTTCCTTTCAACGACGTAAGGGTGTGATGATTTTTTTAAATTTGGTGTTCCTTCAATCAAGTATGAAACGGGATGCAATGCAAGTGCGGTAAATGTCAGGGATGAAAGCCTTTTCCAACCTATATATTCCGTCCCCAGGAAGCGAGCCCTGCTCAAGCTTCACCAAATCTTCAGCCAACACCTTTGCTCGTCTTTGTCAACAACAATGACTAAGGAGTGCTTCTTTTCTGTCGACCTTGGTGGCAAGCGAGAGCTCTACTGCGGTAATAAGGAGAATTTGATTGGGCGGCTTCCTTTCAACAATAGCAACAGTCTAAACCGCAAAGGTCAGTATTCTACCGCCGGCTGATGTCAGACGCTGGGCCCGAAAGTGGAGATA